AACTCCGTCTACTTGACCGCTGAAAGTTTTCACCTAATTCCAGATTTCTCTGACTTCACCTCAGACTTTTTAGACTTTATCATTAAATTTGAATATTTCACATTTCAGTTGTTGAACTGTCTCTGCCATTTCTAAAAAAATTGTTGACCCCTCCCCCCCCCCATTTTGTTAAAAAGTTAATTTTGCTGCTTCTTCATATGCTAGAGTATTCTGAATTATTATTATTGTCGTTCTTATTTTCCGTCCATTTCTTATTCTGAATGGTTTAACATTTTCTCTTTACCTTCTTTCTGAGTCAACTTTTTTCTGTCTTGATCAAATTTAATAACTCAGTAACTCAACACTTCTGATTTTAATCGGAACCGATCATAACATTTTACCTTTATTAGCTAACGGTAGATTAATAATATAAACCAATAATATTTTCTGTAACTAAAACATGAAAAATATACAGTGCATTTCTTTAATGTCCCCACCCCCATTTATTTTTTGAACAGGTCAACTCAAAAAATTGAAATTTGGGATAATGAAATTAATGCAGGAATACTTTATTTTGAAGTGAAATTGACAAATGAAACTTTCAAGATGGCGACTAGGCGCCATCTGGGAAAAAAATCAAATGGAAAGGGAGGTCTTGTGACACATCTTTTTGAAGCTCCTGACAAATGCTTCACAACCCTAGAATATAATGTCAATATCTCAACGATTACAAAAATTTCCTGATTACACTGACATTTAACAACATAATATAAGGTAATAAGCTTGAGGTCAGTTCAGAAGATGCTCGAAATGGTTGCCTTGAACTTCTTGGCATATGAACAGCCTATCCGATATTTCACGCCGAACATTTTCGAACACAGTAACGTCAACATCTCTACAAATATTTATTATTCTCTGCCGTATATCTAATATTGAAGCAAATTCAGTTTAGTACACCTTTTGCTTCAAATAGCCCCATAAAAAAAGTACAAAGGTGTCAAATCTGGCGAGCGGACTGGCCATTCTGTAGGATCTCGACGGCCAATCCAACGACCGGGAAAAGTAGTATCCAAATAGTTTCTTACTTGTTTGGAGTAATGTGGTGGTGCTCCATCTTGTTGGAATACAATATCTATATCGAATTCAAATACAGTTCTCCTCTTAAATTTTGATCAATAAATAGAAGTCCTACAATATGGTTCCCAAATATTCCTGCCCAAACGTTATTTATTTTTTCTGAATATTGGGTATGAGTTTCCCGGAAAACGTGAGGGTTGGTTTCACTTCAATAACGGCAATTTTGTCTGGTGAACGTTGCCATTTAAAAAAATGTGCATTCGTCTCAAAAACAAATATTGTGGAGATAGGTAGGATGCCTTGCAATGGTTCCGTCATGATTTTTCAGAATTCTTTCGATCAGGGTCATCTTCAGTTAATTGGTGTAGCATTTTAATTTTGTATGGATGATACCTTTTCCTCTTCAAAAGTCTCCACACAGTAGAAGAAGACACCTCACAAACATTCGCGACGGAATAAGTAGACTGTTCAGAATTTACTACCATCTCACCAATTATTTGCACTTGCTGTTCTTCCGGAATGGACAGATGACCTCGGGGCTACCGGGGCACTACCGGTTGTTGTGAATTTGGATACAAGTTCCCTCAAATATTTTCTACAGATCGGACGATTCGGAAAACGTTCATTGAAAATCCTTTCGGTCTCGTGAAAGTTACGCATCGCACCGTACATAAAAATCACTTCAATTTTTTCTTCCAATATATGAGAATTGACCATTTTAGAGATTGTTGACGTGGTATCTTTCTACTAGTAAAACCGAAAACTAAATGAGAATATTCTAACTGAACAATGATGTTCATTGTCGTACTGACTTTTTTGTCGTTTTTATGAACAAAACCTTATCGGTTTGTTAGAATTGCTATATAGCAGGAATATTTCTAGAAATATCTATATTAATGTGTTTGTTTTCAGGAAATTATTGAAAGTTCTGCCATTTGGTAGTAGGTGAAGATATTGACTTCATATTCTAGAGTTTCAAAGTATTCGTCAGGAGGTTCAAAATGATGTACCTATCACTTCAAAAAAAAGTTTTTATGTATTAATTTCATTATCCCAAATTTCAATTTTTTGAGTTGACCAATTTAAAAATAAAAGGGAGGGACATTATAGAAATGCACTGTATATTCAAAGTGAAGCTTCTGATACGGGTCTTTCCTGCCGTTCTGGTGGTTCAAGAAATAAGATGAATGTTCAAATTTCGCGGGCTGCGTACATTTGATTAGCATTTTTTCTATTTTTTATTGTGGTACACTCGTCTCGAACATATGTTTACAGTTTCAGCTGTTTAACATGTGCAGATTGTTGGTGAGCGGCAGAAAAGTTTAGAAGTGTTTTGAGTGTTCGGCGATTTTCTGCTATCGAAAAAATGAATCAAATAATTCACATCAAGTTTTTTGTGAAACATGGAATTTAGTGCTCAAAACACAAGGTTTTGCTCACTGTTTTCTTCGATTAACGTGGCGTAGGGCATCAGGAGTTGTTGTCACGTGTTCGTACGGTCAATAAGGAGTATTAACTTGAAGCTTGTGAGACGCAATACAAAGAAAACATCCGGGTTTGCGAAAAAACAATTCATGACTGCACCTGCTCACTCGTCAATGCTTCTTCGTAATTTTTTGGTCGAAAACAACACCGTTATCATGCCTCAGCCACTGAATTTACCAGATTTGCCCCCTGTGACTTTTTAGTGTTCCCAAGATTGAAGAGACCCATGAAAGGACGGCGTTTTGCGACGATTGAGGACATAACAACCGAATCGCTAAAAGACCTCAAGAAAATACCAAAAAATCCCTATCAGAACTACTTCGAGGATTGGGGAAAACGCTGGAACAAGTGTATTATATCTGAGAGGGACTATTTCGAAGACACAAAATAGAAATTGATCAATAAATAAAATATTTTTTTAAAACAATGAAAGTTCACCTTATTTGAACAAAGTAGTAGGTACATGTACAGGTACAAGATATTCCTATGAAACTTATCAAAGTCAAAAATAGGTATTTATATCTATCATATATACAAATTTCAGAACAAATAATTTCATAAGATCTCCAATATTTTCAAAAGTTTACATTTTATTGACTGTTATTGATAAAACGAATTATGTTTTTGAAAGAATAATTGACCTTAGACAAAAGTTTTTATATATTTTTCATAAAAATAACTGTGCTATTCATAGTTTAAGCGCTATAGTGGAATAAATGTAAATACAAACATATATATGTAGATTGCTAAACTATATAAATTGGAATTACTATGAATAGAATAGAATAGAATAGAATAGAATAGAATAGAATAGTTTATTGGCTACGTGATACATTTGAACAAATATTTGTAGCAAGTCAAAACACAAAAATTTCTAAATTTGACGTCATATATACAAATAAAACCATCACAATGCTTGTATAACAGAACAGTGTACATAATAATGAAAACAATCAATCAACTAATGTTAAAAATGAGAACAATTGTTACTCACTCAAAGTCACATGAATTATCTATGTTGTATAACATGTATTCATCTGTAGAATAAAAACAGTGATTAAAAAAAAATGATTTGAGTTTTTGCTTAAAACAGTAGAAACTGAGTTGTTTTATGTGACATGGTAACTTATTATAGAATTTCAAATTCAATGAATTATTTTGTGAGGTGCTCAGTCTGAATCTCTCAGTTCTTATCAGATTTCCTGATCTCGTAGGATATTCATGTTGTTGCGATCGTAAAATGTATTTTGATTTATTTTTATGAATTTCAATCAATGTTTCATATACAAAAGCTGTAGGAAGCGGCATTATTTTGAGATGAATAAAAAGTGGGCGACAATGATCTTTAAAGTTGGCATTATATATTAGACGTATAACTCTTTTTTGCAATATACATTTTTTTTGAAATGACAAGAATCCCCCCACAACACTATGCCATATACCATGTGACTATGGAAGAGTCCGAAGTACGAAGATTTGATCGCTCTGATACCGGCGAAATCCTTCAGTCTACGAATCATAAATATTGCACTTGATAATTTCTTGGCCAGTTTGTCAACATGACATGACCAGTTCAATCTGTCGTCTATATGAACCCCCAGTAGCTTAACACTTTTACCCGAGGTTAAATACGTATTTGTGGAAATTATAAGATTTCGATTTTTAGCCTCATTAAGGAGAAGTCTATTTGAAACAAACCAGTTACTTGTAGACTTCATGGTGGCGTTGGCAAAAACAATCAAATCATTAACACTACCGTGACAGTCCACCAAAGTAGTATCATCCGCAAAAAGAAAACATTTTTTAGGAAGTATGTGGTAGTATAGGTCATTTATATATAATATAAACAAGATTGGTCCCAGTACAGAACCCTGGGGCACACCATGTTTGACATATTTCACATTCGATTTAATCCCATGTAATGATACACACTGTGATCTATTGTGCAAATAGGATTCAAAGAATTTAAGGGACAGTCCGCGGATACCATAATAGGAAAGTTTCTTAAGCAGAATATCATGCGAAACACAATCAAATGCCTTCGATAGATCGCACAACGTTATGAATGAATGTTTGCCCTCCTCAAAACCTATCACTATACTGGATATAATATTCAAAAGAGCATCGATTGTGGACTTACCCTTTCTATACGCAAATTGTCCAGGGCAGAAAAGAGAATTAGCTTCTAAGTATGCTATCAATCTGCTTTTGACAATTACCTCGATAACTTTTCCAAGTATAGGTATTATTGAAATAGGTCTAAAGTTGTCGATAATATGAGGGTCTCCTTTTTTAAAAAGAGGTAGGACTACAGATTTTTTTAATATTGATGATATTTAATATGGATCTTCATCAAGTAACGGCCGAATCAATTAGAAAATCATAAACATTCTTTTTGGCCCTGCTGTAGCCGAAAAATTAGTGGAACACTTCATCATATTCTTTCATTATTCTTTCAGCTATGATGGGCAATGGATTGACAACGAATTAAAAGATGGTCTGGGTCAGCTGGTTGATGGCAAAATTGGTCCCGACGACTACAAAGCAGATTATTCCGATGATCACAGCTGGGTGGGATGGAAAAACGATACCAGAGATAATAAACCAATAGAAGTTACGTTTGAATTCGATAAAGTTAGGGAATTTTTCTCACTTCAAATCTATTGTAGCAACCAGTTCACGAAAGAAATACAGGTAAATAATGTGTAACTCATTCTCAATAACTCTTAGACAATTTTCAAATTCTTGTAGGTGTTTTCTTCTGTGAAGGTGCTTTTCAGCATAAGTGGTAAGCAATTCAACGAGTTCGAACCGATCACTTATGAATATGTGGAAGAACGAATATTTGAAACTGCTAGAAATATAACTGTCAAGCTACACCACAATGTCGGACAATATTTGAAGCTCTATCTATATTTTGCATCCAAGTGGATACTGATAAGTGAAGTTTCTTTCGATTCTATAATATCGCACGGGAATTTTAGTATCGGCCACGAACCTACGATAGATCCGAAAGCAAAGCCAGAAGACGATCGAAAAATTGAAATTTCAAAGTTACCAAAAGAGGAGGACGGACCTGCCATGGTAGCTTTCATCCTAATAGGTAAGCAACTGTATTCATTCTAGACAACAGTACTTATTGAACAAGTACCTGCAGGAATTACTCCATTTGGGCATTTCTACATTCGCTACCCGTCATCTGCAATGTCATTTGTCTAACGTCTGTCAAAGAAAGAGACTAATCGTTCTCATTCTAGATTTGGTTGTAATTATTTATTATGGAACTGGGAGTTTCAAAAGATCAGTGATATGGTTCCTCTTCGCCGCTTTGTCAAGAAAATTAATCTGAAACAACTGAAAAAAAGTTGGATGTGCTTTCCACATATATGTTCCTATAGCCATATGAATAACTTTTTCTTGTGCCACTTTGAGATTCTTAGTAATATATTTCATTTTCTCAAGCATTTTAATAAAGAAAATAGGGTAGTTTCAGGTTAACGCATGAGTTTGGTTCAGTTTTGAGTGAGGAAGTCATGTAATTAGGATTTTGTAGAACTGAACTGTTGTTGAACTGAACTGTTGTTGAACTGAACTCCTTTAATGCGCCTGAAGATATAATACAAAAATATGTAGAATTGTCCAAATAAGAACATGTGAAATGAGTGTCCAAATTGTTTTCAATTTTTTGTGTACCGCTATCCAATGAATTTCGAATAACAATGACCTAGGATCATTGAGGTACACTTGTGTACCACTACTTTAATTTCTGGTATTCAACACTTCAATGTGAGATTTCCATTTGATTTCTGCTGTCCCTATAATACAGTGTACTCATTTCAGATGATTGTTTTAGTTAAAACTCTTTCTTCTCTAACTTCCCTTTTTGCCCAAACTCTTACGAATGTGTGAAAATATTCATATTTTCGGTAAGCATACACATGTAATGCATATCTGTCAATTCAGTATTTTTATTTAGGACCATGTTTATTTTTGTAATATTTACAATTCTAATGCTAGGTACGTTTTTAATCCCTCCAACCGATTTCCTGGAGTGTTTGAAGTCCACTAGATACTCGTAAGGACAACAAGAGGATTGTTCTGAATTCTTGGGATTTTTGTTGAATACTCTTCGTTGGCAAAACAATAGCAGAATCAATACTCATGACCGCTCTGGATTGAATAATTCCATAGAGTCTATCTCGTCTTGTGTTTGTACATCTTTTGCTGGAAAAATCCTCAATTGTTCACTTAGTAGTAAATGTTCTAAGGTAGTGAAAACGTATGTGAATTTCTGGAACTTCATCCAGCGTTTCCTAATATGACTATTAACCAGTCCGTGCAAAGTTTATTGATAAATCATCTGAAAATGGAATTTTTAACAGGTGATGATTGACTGTATTGCCAAACATGCGCCAAATTAACTGACTGTTATAAGGAAACAAGTATAGCTGAGGCACCAGTCAATCTAATAATAACACTGATGATCTTCAAACAAAACTCAACCTCTGACGGAAGCACCAAACTCTTTCGAAGGTTCGAAATAGATGAATACTTCATTCTAGCATACCACTATTATAATATTCATGCAGTCATTGTTCACTGTGGTTCTGGCGTTGAATTTGGTCATTATTACGCCTTGGTCAAAGACAAAACGGACTGGTTTAAGTTAAACGATAGTCGTGTCACTAAGTGTTACTGGGGCCTTTGGAGACACCCTACATTCTGTTTTATGAGAGAAAGGACATTGGCAGATCAAGATCTTCAGATTATGTGGTGCTGCAGGTTTTTTCACGTTTTCCTGCAGCTGAATAAGCAAATGCGCCACTGGAACCAATAAAGTCGCCACGGAACGCCAATTAATTTTTATTGTTGTTTTATAATTTCACAAATAAAGTTAATACATTCCCAATTTGATTACAACAAGCAAATTTAGTTTTTTTATGCTGAAACCTTACGTTGAACGAAAAAAATTATGATACCAGATTGAGGATCCAAAAAATATTTTTTCCTCAATTGAAAGCCGTGACATATTTTTTTTCACACACAGTACAAATTCCTCATAGACGCCACTGGCAAAAATTATGTTGTAGAGCAGACAATGCATAGAAGATGCAGATTACATTCCACAAAAATATCTGGTCTTGTAGATTATTTGTCTTAGCACGTTAGGACCTTTACGACAATTTTTTTATGATGTTTACTCTATTTTGTGTAGGGATAGAGGCCTATTGCAAATCGAAGGGTGGTTGTTGTTAGTGTGAGTGAAAAACATTTTTCAACAACCTCAAAGAGTATTTGCCGAAAAGACTTCTTTTAATTATTTTCCTCCACTTTCATATTGTCAAATATTATAAATGAAGAATCATGCAATTTTTCCTATCTCAAAACTAGGAAAATAGTAGCTTGTATAAAATTTTCAATGCGTTTGCAAATAATTTTTTTTTACAATTTGAAAATTGTAATGATAATATTAATGATATTAATATCAGTATTTTCAGCGACGTTTCAAAATAAACATACTTCAATTGTTTTACACAAATAATGAATTTTTTTAGGTATCATACTAGCAATAATTGTTGGAGCAATTGGATTTGTAATTTATCGATACCAATATAAAAAAATGTTCGGAACTTCACCCTCCTCGAATATTGGAATTCCAGGAAACAGATCACCTCATTTGTATCCTGAGTCTGCTTATGGTAAGAGATATTTTGTTTTTAGATGCTTGCTGTAGTTATTTTTCAATAAATACGCCAATAAATTTTTCAAATATTTGATGATCATTATTTTCAATTGAAAAAATTCATAACTTTCATTAAAAAATAGTATTTATATTCTACCCTAATATAGTCAAATGTGCTTCGTCTCACTCATTGAAGTCTACTCCCTCGAATGTGTCAAAAACTTTTGAATTTTCGATCGATACAAGTGGAGTAAATATTTCTGTCATTTTGAAAAATGTTTCTTTTCCCTTAAAAAAACCTAGCCGTCATTCCCTCTTTTCCATTTTGTTGTCTGCCTATATTCTCACAGGTTTCTAGTAACTACCTGCAGACTTTTTGGAATCAAACACTCTGATATTCTATTATTATTGGGAAAAAGCTTTTTGTCTTTCCACTTCTTCATTATCGAACAAAAAATTTGGAAAACTCGCAAAGAAAGGAAAAAACTACAATAAAGACTCTTTATAATAAAGCTATATAGTGTATACATAGACATTTCTTTCAGATACAGATTGGAATAAAAACTTTTTGACAACAACTACTTTCATATGAACATTGAATTACACAAAAACCACATTTTCCTATTAGTTTGTACTAGAAACTTTCTTAATGGAATTGAAACAGATATATTTCATAGGAATGCAACAAAATGTGATGTGACGGGACGTTAGCCGATAGCCGTCAATCGACCTCTGTTAAAATCGGTGGTTCGAGCCCAGAGGCCGGATCAATTTTCACTACCCATTGTCCAATCCGTGCTAAAAATCGTATGTTAAAGGGCGAGACCTCGTTATTTGTTCGCACAAGTTTAATCTTCTGAGGGTTGTGAGAGGACGACAGCTGGTTAACGGAAAACCGATTGAAAGAGTATTGATATCACTTACTTGAAAAACTATCATCCTATATGGTCTACTTCGAAGTTTCGGTCTCATGACCTCATCAGCACAATTTTTGTTAGATTAACTCACCGTATGAATGTGTATGCATGTTGATATTGAAACAAGACCAGATTTGTCTCTTCGGGTGGCATAAAGTCGTAATGTGATGAGAAAAAAGAGTGCTTCGTCCTGTAATGTTATCCAAAATGGTGCTGATGAGGTAATAAGATAAATGTCTTGTCCCGAAACTTTGAAGTATGTAAGTGACATTTTATACTAATACCTTTTCATATATCACATTGGTAAGTATTCCTATGAATAAAATCAGTTTCACTTCCACAATGAATGGTTTGTATAGGATCTTTCAATAGGGACGTCCAAACTTTGACAATTGATGACGGCCATTTTGTTGAAGCTACATCTGTCAAATTAGTCTGTTTTGCCAAATCACCATGAACGGATATAGCTTTCAACAACACGTGCAAATAATGAAATTATTTTATAAAAATGGGTGTTCTGTTCGGGCAACGTACCGCGTTTAACCCATTTTACGGTCCCCACAATCGTCTCACCGAGAGGACTATTCGCAATGAGGTGGATAAATTTGAGTCCACTGGTTCAGTAACCTATCGACCAACACCCGTACGTCGACGAAACGCATGATCTGGTGAAAAAACTACCGCAGTCTGTGAGAGTGTACAGGAGAATCCGAGGCAATGATCTCGCGTCGCTCACGAGAACTCGGCCTTTCGCAGATCATAATTTAGCGAATTTTGCCTCGTGACTTGGCCCCAGTGCTACTTCTGGCTATACAATCGTACGAATTGCTATACAATTCAATATTTTTTGTACACACATACCACATTGACGAAAAGCATACATTTTCACTTCATTTGGTTTTGCATTACGTCATTGATTCAAACGAGGCCACGGTCATATATTTACAAATTCCAATCACTTCGTCCTTCGATAGTCGAATAATCTGTCTTTTTCTGTCTTCCGTCTCATTATGATAGGCGTGTCCCGCGTGTCCGTCTGCCATAGAACTCATAAAAGTCATAGATCATGATCACGTCGATCATAAAGAAGAAATCACTTCATTTTCAAATCAGTCAAATGTCAAATCTGTCGAAAACCGCTGGCGCTGAAAGAAAAATAAATCCACAGTGAGAAAAGAGAAAAGACGAATTTTTAATACATATTTATGAATGGTAGTTGGTAGTTTAAACTGTTTAAAGCCTGAAATAAAATGAATGGACCGGTATGTAACCAGTTATCATGCATTTTAGAAACTGTTTTTATTTTTGAATATGTCCTTTATTTTTGTATTTGCAATAAAAAAGTTATGTTTTTATTTACCCCCCTCTTTTTTATTAGCAGTAGCGGTTTCAACTGCCGGGGTCATTCACCTCACCCCTCTTGATTTTGTGTTAGGAGACTTTGTATTGTCATTTGATTTAATACATGATATAAACTAAAGCTAGATTAGTAAATGCAGAATTTTCAATTAATATTAATGCAAATAATAATCAAATCAATATATTTGTAATAACCACTTCAAATTTCTCACATACGATGCGTGTCTGCGCATGCGCAAATCGCTTTAATCCATCTTTGCATCATGCGGGAAGCAGTCACTTGTCAATTATTCTGATGACAGTGTTGGCGACCATTGATGCTATACAATTATAGCGAAAAACATAAATTTTCATCTGTCATTTTCGTACAAATTATTTTTGTCTGTGAGTAGCCCTGCTTGGCCCTACATGCAAAATTCAACTGATCCTGTTAACGACGTGTGTTTGCTGAATGGGCTCTGGAGCAGTTGGCAACTGATCATCTTCAGCGCAATGAGGTCCATTTCTGGATGAATGAGTACGTGAACAAACAAAATTGTCGAATTTGGGACTTTACCAATCCAGATGAGATCCAAGAGCGTCCAATGCATCCTGAAAAAATCATTGTTTGGTGTAGATTTTGGGCGGGCGGCGTAATTTGTCCATATTTGTTTGAGAACGACGTTGGCCACGTCATTACTGCCAACAGCGAGCAATATAGGTCGATGATTACCAACTTCTTTTGAATGAATTGGATGATCTAGATACCAACGATATGTGGTTTCAACAGGACAGCGCTACGTGCCACACAGCTCATGCTACATTGGATATTCTGCACGAGCGATTGGAGGGCATGGTCATCTATGTGAAGGTGATTTGAACTGGGGACCGAAATAATGCGATTTGACCCTGTTAGACTTTTTCTTGTGGGGTTTTCTCAAGTCGCAAGTGTATGCGAATAAGCCACAAACCACAGCGGTCTTCAAAGCCAGAGTCATGGAAAATTGGACATTTCAGATGCACTCTACCCAGAGAAACCGTGACGGAGATTTCAACGGTGTTATATTCCACGCATGAAGGCATCAATAAGTGGCTCAAAAAATTTAAAAATGTCAATGATATCTCACACACACTTTTGTTTTATTTCAATTTGAAGATAGGAAGCGATCAATGAAAGACCCTATAGTACAAACAGAATGAGAAGAGTGATTTTTGTGTCATTCAACGTTCATGTGAAAATAGTTTTGTTGTGAAAGGATTTTTTCGTTTCATGTAATTCAATGTTCATGTGGAAGTAGTTGTTTCGAAAGGATTTTTTATCATAGTTTGTATCTGAAAGAAACTTCTGTATAAACACTACATATCTTTTCAAAGAGTTTTTATTGTAGTTTTTTTTGTCTCTTTCTATGGAAGTTTCCAACATTTCTTGTTCAATGACGGGGAAGTAGAAAGTCAAAACCTGTTCAACCTTCACAAAATGACACCATACCCTGTAGCAATTTTCACAAAATATTTATCGAATTGCCTAATGCAAGTCTGGTCCTTGTTTCATGTAACTTAGCAGCAGGATCTAGTACAATTCAGATTGCTCTACTTGTAGCCTTTATTGGCAGGCATGGCATGTAGTCTTCTAGAAGTTTTTCGGGTTGAACATACATTTCTGTATGATTTCGCATTGTAGACATAGTGGATCATTTATTATCTATTTTACTGCTGATAATTGTAGTCTCCAGTATGGAGAAAAATTTCCTAATAGGAAAGTGGTTTGTTGTAGTTGTAGTCTTTTATATAATGTTTCTAGTAATAAAGAGTCTTCAAAAGCTTGTTCATTTGATTCATTCATGAATCTTTTTTCCAGGTATTTGTTGACATTTTCTTGATAAAAAAGTGGCCTGCTGAGACTCGTAGTCTTTCACGTGCTGTTTCTAGTAAAAGAAAGACTTCGATAATTTCTTTATGTGGTTTCTTTATGAAACGTTTTTCTAGATTTTTTTCCGATACTCTGTGCTTTCCAGTCATCCACGATCCCAGAGAAGTCCGAGTGGTATTTTTAGGTAAGACCAGTACTATTGGTCTTACCTATTCTGGACCAACAACAAATTAGCTATCTCTGTTTTGCCAAATTCTTCTTATTCTGTTATGCTTCAGGGGCCAAGCTTTCAGGTCATTCCTTGTGATCTGACAGGTCGACAAGTTTATGTCAAAATTACTTTATTAGCCTGGATAGTATCCTAAAGTTTTCTGTAGCTCTTACAGCAGGGCGAGTTTTCATGTTTACTTCAACCCTATATTTCAAAATAAATTAATTTTGCATAAAGTGTTTCTTCTTTATTTCAGTCAAATACTATGCCTGGAATAAAAGAGTGTACTTTTCATCATTAGCATTATTCCAATGATCCAGTTCTCTTTCAGTTTTCGAACCGTTTGTGTTCCAAATGAACTCACCCGTTTCTGGTGAGTTTTCCCTGTAATTACAAGTTTTTGTTTCTGGCTCAGTTGTCAGTTTTCTTTCCGCAGCACCAAATAGTAATATGTAAAAATTAACCTTATTTTCAGACATGCTCGTTAACCCACTCAACACCATTTCCATAAACCTTCCCGAGGGAGTAGGCGGCTTTAATCAAACAAAAAAACTTTTAATTATATTCCTTTTTTCTTGAGCAGTAGAGTAATAAATAATTTTGAAGTGACTGTTTCATAGGCGTACATAACTGAGTCGGTTAAAAAGTGAAAAATGTAGTGTTAATTTCAAACATTCAAT